GTCTAATGTAGCGCAAGCTCGAAGATCTACATGTGAAAACTAACAAGTTGACAAAAAAGGCAGAGCAACGAACACGGAACTTCCTTCAGGTGAACGTAGAGAAGACAGAGGTGATGAAGATACCCAGCCAACATTACCACCAACAACAACGACAACGAGAAGCATCAATCAACATTAACGGAAGGAATCTAAAGTAAGTCGGCTCTTTTACCTACCTACTCAGGCAGAGTCGTTTCAACTACAGGTGGCGGCACAGATGAGGACGTGAAAATCAGGATTGAAAAGACAGTAAGACAGGCTTTCATTAGTCTGAAACCAATCAGTGTGGAGATCTACTGCACTCCACTCCACCGCATCCAGCATAAAGCGTGAACAAGGTCCAGATTTTCGACACTAATTAAGTCAAGTAAGTCAGTGCATCCATGTGATGGTTGAGATACTTGGCACCTTACGAAAAGCATTTCCAACAAACTACAGACATTCATCGACAGCTGCCGCCTACGCTTACTCAATAATGACACTGAAGATGGATATCAGACGGGCAGAATAATAAGAAAAAGCGAGGAGGAACTCTGGCTGGCTTGCAACTGACCAACCAACAACCTGTCATCCAACAAATATGCCGACGAAAGTGGAGATGGGTTTGACATACACTGAGAAGACCTTCTTTTCCGCGCCTTTTTTCGCCACATGTTTACGCCTCAGTTTCACCGCTTTTAAAAACGCTGCTTTCGTATTGGTTAGTCTCTTACTTTTAATATACCATTTCACCTGTACGCCCTAATGACGCATGAATTGCATATAAATGCAAATGTTGTGTCCATGGGTTGTAATTACATACTTTTACTGGAGTGTCCTCACCTCAGTCCGACAATGCCTTCTTCTTGTGCTTCCAGGCCCAGTTGTCAAGTGTCGTATCTGTCATTCAATCACTAGGGTAAGCACATCCAAAATTCCCAACAATTACTTACCCATCAACTGGATTTGTTAGGCGTTCCGCATGGATCACATAATTTACATGACCTAATCAACAAACATTTTCTACTCCTGTTAATAGTCCAGCAAAAATGAGGTTAGGATTTTATCAGAATAGCGGTATACACGAGTTCTTTCAGCTGGAAATACTACACAAGAAACCATTATGACAAATAAAACTCCATACACTAATACATTTATAATTGTTTTCATCACATCATAAATCTACAAGTCAATAGACGTTGATATAAACATATGAAGTAAAGCATTTATTCTATATATTAGGTGATTATTTCATTCAGTTTGCAGGTTTTCAGGGATTTTATCGACTTCAGTGCAGTATTCATCATGGACTGACATCAGTTAGAGAACCAATAAAAACCTGGATGCACTGAACACCTGTTTCTTCCTAGTATGGGACTCCTTATCAGGTGAGACACCATCGAAGATCGAACGCAGGATCTACAAAATGAATCATTGTTTAGTACTAATTAGTGAATTCATCGCTTTTTGCAAAATCTGTTATCCTTGTATCGCAGGTTTATTCATCTTCCATAGGAATGAATGAAGAAAAACTGTTCCTTCTTCATAATCATACTAACCACCCAAAGGAGTCTGATCATTCTAGATGATATGAGATAACCGTAATTTACCAAACTCATCTTGAAGTTCAGTGAACCATTGGTCCAGTAGAATGATGGTCATTGGTTTAATCAAAGTATTCTCCGAACTTCAGTTTTCATCCTGTGACGTTAAGATCAACCTGATACATTAAGTCTACTTGAAGTCGTCACATCAACAAACAGGAATATTTCTACGTAATCTGAATTCTTTTGCCTTCAAACTAGACAAATATACCACCAAGCTGTGGAACTATACGGTTGTTACTGACACCAATAGGTAGCACATCTGGCTAGTCATATGAAGGTGATTCAATGGTTATCATAGTAAGATGGTAAAGTATGTCAGTAAGATTTCAGGAATGTCAAGATGAGTCATCTGAAACATCCATTTGTCTAAGGTGGTTGAAATTAAACTGTCTGAGGTATTTCAGCGTTGTAGTTTAATCATCTAGATAAGTTGCTAGTGCTGCTGTTACGCAATACAACTATCTTCCTATCTGAATTCAATCAACATAATTAGAGTAGTATTTTGTTGGTCTGAGGCAGTCGATAAGAACCCCTGGGATATGGTTCCATGTTTAGTGGTACTTTTTAGCAAGGCCTATCCACAACCGCAAAGGAACTGATATCCCCTATGAGATTTGAATCTGCATCACTTAGTGTTGCAGTCAGCGACATTATCACTGAGATGTATTTGGTGAGGATGATGACGTTATAATCTGCAGGATTTTTATTAGTGACATACAACCTAGATAAATAATTAATCAATACGCAACTGCAAACAAACGGCTGATGAGTCCCAAATAGGACGAAATGCGCACCCTGGATTCCACTACTAGCCACTATCCATCATTACTATAATTAAAATACAGGTAGTATTGAGGCCTCCGCACAGGAGCCCATATGCCAATAGAGATCGATCAATTCGATTCAATCAACGACAGTATAATGCAAGTAATAATACTAAAACCCTACCCATCGCACAAGAAGTGATTATCGCAGCTCGGTGGTCTAGTGGACAACGCCCTGACGTTTGAAGCGATTGCTTCTGAGTCAGAATCCCAGTAAAAATAACACCACTTACTGAGAGACAGGTACCTCCAGCTGACGCGTCGCAAATAGAACGAAATGTGCATCCTGGTTTCCACTACTAGCCACTATCCATAATTACAATAAACATGTAAGATTTTGTGACACTATTTCAAACTTTGAAGGGGCCGAATAGTCGAAAAAGCAAAAGATGTCTCATACACACAAACTCAGTTAAATTAGACACATATATGAGAGATGTCAGTGTTTTGGAATCAGACGAGGCAGCTGAGTAATCATAGGAAAAGCCATGCATACAAAATTTGGTTATTACTCGGGACTAGACAACATGAAGTTGGTTGCTTCTCGTTGACCAATCAATACATGTAATCTAGTCTTAATACATGTAAATCGCGACCTGAATGGCTCAACGGTGACGTCTCTAACCGCAACACTGAATGAAGCGGGTTCCAACCTAAGTAAGGACATCAATTTCCCTGAGGTTGAAGTCACGCCTTGCTGACAAGTGTCAGTAATCACTAAACCTAGGTATAACAGGGTTTCCAACCAACTAAAATCCACCGTAGTCTACATTGTTAGTTGGCCTCCTAGCTTGGCTGCCACCCTGCAAAATGGTCGATAGAATTTAATCAGTACTCAGGATTAGACAAAATGAAATCGGTTACTTTTCAGTGACCATTCAATATATGGTAGATGACTACGATAGGCGAAATATAATAGCAATGTAAATTTTTAACCTAAAATGATCGAAATTGTAGCAAGCACTAATTTGAGATTGAAGAATGTTATAGAAGAAGGAAACTACAAGTTTAAATTGATTTTACAGATATAATGAGCTTTGTTTGTTGACGAACAAAGTTATTGCTTACAGGATGATGAAAGATTGGCAGTGTCACTTTTGGAACACAAATGTTAAGTCTTATTCTCTTCACAACTAGGAATTCAGCAAACAGCCGATTACTTAAAGTTTTCCACCTGTAACAACTGTGAAAGCTTATGGTATGCTAATTACATTCTCTGTGTGCATTATATTCATAAAATCATGACTGTTAAAGCTCAAATTAATCTGTATATGCTCAACAATCCAGATGTATAATCATTTCTCTATCAATCGAATGTACTTTCTTCCAATTCTGTACAGGTAGATTGATGAATGAAATTGTGGATATTGCTAGTGGATTATTCTAGAAAAGGGAAATATAGAAGTCGAACGGCTCCGGTTAAATTATTTAGATGTGTTGCTGGTAATAGACAATAATTCACTAATGGAGGGAATGATGGAACGATGTATTATGATACCTTTCTTCATCAGGATATCCTGTCTCATGGTGAACATCTTAACTATTCAAGAAACTGTGGACCACTGAACTCTCATCCACTGGCTGAATAGTTAACACATTAAAAAAGGGATTGTAAAGTTCTGAGTTCGGTCCCTGGCGAGATCATTGATTCGTACTGCTGAAGAATGCCGTATCAAGGCAGAAACAGCTGTACAATCCCCTTATATTTGCAATGGTTCTGCGACTAATGTCAGTCTTTGATGAATACTGCCTTAAAATAAGTAAAATTTTCATTGATATAAAACTACACATTAAGACAAATTTAATTTTATGTGCATATACATATGAACTAACCTATGAGTATATTCAACCAAGTTGTCATTCATCGTAGAAGGACATCAATTGGAGGAACAAAGGAAACCTTGGAGCACTAGACAGCCAGCTGTCTCGTTCTAGTATGCCACTCCTCAGCAGTGCGCACCACTACCCACCACGGATCGAACCCGCAACCATCAGGTTCCCTTGCCAGTACGTTAGCATTGAGTCACTGGGTCAGAATCTAATGGTCAATATTTCCAACTTCTGTTAACTCACGACATAGCTGAACCGCCACCCAATTTCATCCTTGAGTAACTGTCCTCACCACCATCAGGCTTTGCCCCCACCGGTCACGACTTCTCGAATCTATTCACCAATGAGCACCAGTTCTATTGCTGAGGAGTCTCATACTAGGAGGAGACAACTGGCTATCCAGTGCTCCAAGGTTTCATTTGTCCCTTCAACTGATGTCAGTCTACAATGAATAACAACTTGAAATACTTTCAAATCTCTATAACTCCCTCAAAAATGATATTCAATCAAGCAAAGATCAAATTGTTATCACTCAGTATGTCTGTACATGCGTGAATGTGTATATGTATGCAGACATGTATAAGAATCGTACACACATGTTGTGTATATCGGTTATGTCCAAGATGTATACTAAATAATCCAGTCAGTTAAAGGTAAATTATGTACTGCTTTCTTATTGGTTAAACTAAGGTGGTAATTTAAGCGTATGTGATTTATGTTCACTTACAATGTAATAAGTTCAGGCACAATGATTATCACTTTTAATTAACTGACTGGTTGTCCGAAACTGTTTCTAATCCCTCATCTGGTTTCACATCTATTAATATCATGATGTAATTAAGTTGATTACATAAAAAATTTTCACATACATCAGATCTTTGTCATGATTACAAAAATGTATTGTTGATCATCATTCAATGTGAACAAATCTAATCAAATATTAATTTTCAACTTGAATTCATATGAAATTATGTATGATGTAAAAATTTTGTATACATAATCCCTAGTTTCAATGAATCTTCCATGTTGTACAGCCTTCCAGGGTAGCCCAGAACAGGAGACTATAAGAAAAGCTCGAGAGAAAGCACGTAAAATATCACGGGAAATTGATAAACAGATATCAAGACATAAAAAGATGGAACTAAATTGTCTTAAACTATTATTACTAGGTGAGTTCAATATTCTGTTTTAAGAACTTTAAAATGATGAATAACCCGTAATAGGATCTATGGAATGTTTCATCTTAATTCCACCTCATTCTAATATACAGTTGAGATGCTTGTTTGTGCGAGTTCCTGAGACGTCCTAAACCAGGATAAGAAAACTATCCAGTGATTCCAAGATCTCAGAAATTCTCTTTCCGACTTCATATCGTGGTTATTATTATCATTAATGTTTATTATTTTTCCCCTGAGTTTCTAATGGAACATACCGCTTCACTTGCACGCCTCCATTGCACTCTGTTCTCTGAAGCCGTTTGAACCTCGCTCCACGATTCCCCACAAGCTTTCATTTCTTCCTCACATGATCTCCTCAATGTCATCCTCAGCTATGACGCCCAAATCATTGTTTCCCATTTAAGTTCCACTCTAGTGCCTGGTGCGTGGTGTCCCCAATCGGCCTTCTCAGTGTATGCCCAGTCCAACCCCACTTTTTTCTACATATTTGTTGGGTTATGGATTCTTGGTTGGTTCGTTCCCAGAGTTCCTTGTTGCTTATTCTTATTATTCTGGTTATTTGGTCTTCAGTGTCGAGCGAGTGTAGGTGGCAGTTGTTGATGACTGTCTGGTTTGTTGGAAGTGCTTTTCGTGACGCGCTGTCTCTGAACCATACAGAAGCACCGACTTGATATTGGTGTTAAAAATTCGGATATTGTTCTTTATGCTGAGTGCAGTAGATCTCCACATTGATTTCATATTCAGGAAAGCTTTTTCGATCTTGGTTTTGACATCCTCGTCTGTGCCGCCGCCTGCCTAGGTAGGTGAAGGTGAAAGAGACTACTTCCTTCAGGTTTCTCCCGTTGATGGTGATTGGTGCCTCTTGTTGCTGATGCTGATGCTGGTTGGGTATCTTCATCACCTCCGTCTTCTTTACGTTCACATGAAGTCCCATCTTCGCTGCCCTGCCTCTTCTGTCAACTTGTTAGTTTTCGCCTGTAGATCTTCGAGTTTGTGCAACAAGACATTAGATATTAATCATCATCGTTGGCGAAATCCAAATCTTCTAGGCTGTTTTTACCTGCCCAGCGTATCCCACTCCTCTCGCTCCTCACTGCTTGCTGCATGCTCCAGTTCACCACGGTCAGGAAGATCATGTGTTATAGTAGGCAACCTTGTCTTGCTCCTGTCTTCACTTCAAAGGTGTCACTGAGCTTTCCATTGTGAATTACTTGGCATATGGCGTCTTTATATAGCTGTTGAGTGAGGTTGATGAAAGTTTGTGGCACTGAAACCGTAGTGTTGAAGCAGTTGCCAAATTACTTCTTGGTGGACGTTGTCGAAGGCCTTTTCAAAATCGATGAAGTTGAGGTTGAGTTGACCGCCATTCTATGCTCTGTTTTATGATAATGCATAGTTTAGCGTTGCATTTGATCCCCACATGATTTGTTTCTCCTGAGTCCAACCAGCCTTTTCTGGTAGTAATTTTGAATTCATCGCAATTTTTGGTCTCTCCAGGATGATGCGGCTTAATAATTTGCTTTGGGTGGATAGCAGTATGATACCTCTCTTCTTTAGCAGTTTGACCAGGTAGCCCTTCTTCCAATCTGCAGGTACCTTTTCTTCCTTCCAAACCTTCTGTAATGGTGGTGTGAGCATTCATATCGTGATCAATACTTACTATTCACTGTTTTCAAAGTAGTAGTCGGTCTTTTATTCATGAAGTCATTATCGGCCGACTGTAGAATGTCCAGAATAACTGCTGTATTAAATGATCTTTTAATGGCATTACTTAAGCGTTTTGTTACATTTTCGCTTATGATGTCACTCTGAAATTCTAGTCCTAGGAATAACGATTTCTTGGAAGTTGTAGGCACTCTGTTTTTCATGTTAGATGTTCCCATATTTTTTATCTAAAACTCTTTCTGTACATCCATTACGACTGAGTAGATCATGGATAATTTCAAGTTCTTTATATAAAGTATCGTTTAAACGAATTTCGTTTGCATTGCAAGGCGAAAAAAAACTTAAAGAAGAAGTGTACTGACAGATTGACAATAGTTTCTCACTTTGGTTTTCGATTTCTGAGATTCTGAAAATATCATTTAGAACCTTTCTAGAAGCATACATTGGTATAGTGAATTACCAAAACTACAAACTAGGAAATAATATACGGTTTGTGGTAACAGACGCCAAAACAATATCATAATTGCATCAATATCTGTATAAAAATATTCAGACAACTAGATCACACCGAAAATTTAAGAATAAGTTTTTAAAATCGATAACGGTGAGGGAAATCTTATTTCAGTTTAAGATGTCAGATAGTCAAATCAATAAGCTAGTAAATAATTTTCCAAAAACATTTGTACAACAAATAAGAATATCATTTTGACTATCACCCAGCAACAGTACTAGTCTGTCAAATCACTGCTATCTCAGATATTCATAATGATAACTAAAGTGATGCTCCCCCTCAGAATTCAGTTAGACTTGGTTTGGGATGAGAGATCCTTACTAGGTAGCCAATATGAGCCCGATCAACTAGCACTAACGCATCACGAATTCACATGGTAGTCAAGAAAACTTTTGGTGACTGAAGTGAAATAAAAATCTGGTCAGCAGTCGGGCCTCGTGGCTAAGTTGGTAGAGCCCTGGTCCCGTAATCCAGTGGCCGATGGGTAGAATCCTGCCACAATTCAAATAAGAATATGATGCGAAACACTGGAGAAACGTTGGTATCGTACACCAATTGAAACTAGAAAACAGCGAGGAAGAAACTTCACTCAACTATAAAACGAGAAATTTTTCTATCTGACCATGGAAATTGGGTGTTCAGTGTGCAGTTGTCAAGTTGTCAGTGGTATTATTTAACATTTCGACTGCCCTAAAACTTTTCATGTTTCAGGTGAAATTTCCACTACATTTGAAAAAGGAGCACGATTATTTTCGAATCCATGCTTTGGTATATCTCAGGTCGATATATTTATCACATGGTTCATGATCGTATTTTTCTGTTCATCTAGGCATGGTCTGAGTGGTACCGACAATCACCTATATATCACTAACTGACAGAAGTAGGAAAAACGTGAACCACTAGACTCCAATTCTGTGGCTTATTGATAAAGAGCTCACCACGGAAGCCAAAAGTCCTTGGTTCAGCCCTCGATGAGGTCATGGGTGCATACTGCTGAGGTGTCTCATACTAAGATGAAACGACTGTCCAGCTCTCCTAAGTTTTCAGTAGTTCTCTAACTTATGTCAGTCTGTGATGGATACCAACTTGAAATCATTTCCTTGACGTTTAAATCCACCAAATTTTGATATTAAAATGAGCATTTTGACTTTTGAAACTTTAGATCCGTTTCCATTATTCAATATCTAATCTAGATAATCTCTGGTATTCTCCAAGTTATCCTCCACTTTCATACTCAGCCGAACTATGAAACAGCATTTTGTGTAAAGTTCAGTCTTCATGCTTATTTTCGGGTGCACATGTTCACTAGTGGCCTAGTGGATAATGCTGTGATGATTCAAGTGACGGGCGTTGGCTGTGAGTCTCAGGAAGAACAACATCACTCACTAGGATGCAGTTAAATCTGTCTGATAAGTCCGAAACTGGGCTACTAGTCACAAAGTATGCTAAAATATAATAAATATTCAGACAGTATTGGAACATCCACATAGGAGCCCATCTGCCAACATAGATTGAGCAGTTTGCCCAGTTCAGCAACGGGGAATTACAAGTACCAATAAATAGCCTTAATTGTTTGATAAACTTCTGATCTTTGAAGTGAATGCTATTTTCTCTTTTAAAGGCATTGTTGAGTTGTGTCTTTTATATACTAGATGGCACTGAACAGTAACTGATGTACTTCTCGAACTTCAGAATACAGTGTACCAAAGTATCATGTCATTTAACGTTGTGAGAATATTACAAACTTGATCAGAAAAATTTTATATGTCTCAACCACTTGAAACGTGAAGCCTAATTAGGTCAACATCTGATCACCGAGTTGTATGCACAGTCTAGTCATATGCAGTGGGTCAGACATTTTTTGCATTGCTTGCTTTTGGCTTTCTGATTCGAGCACTGGGAGAATATGAGATATTTCAAGAATGCAGATATGCATTGTTGATGAGTGCCAATAATCACGAAATTTAGATCAACAGCTTCCTCCTGACTGACTACCTACCAATTTTTGAATGAGAATTGGTAATATGAATTCTCCATCCTTCTAATAAAGTGTTTGTTAAGACTATGCGTTTATTAGCAACACTAAAGTCAATCCTCAGAATATTAACCAGTTGAATATGCAACTAGAAGAATATTAGAGGACTTTGTTGATGAAGATTGGCTATATACTTTCATGAATTGATTAACTGATGCCAGTTATCACTAGGGAGAAAAATGCTTTTGTTGACTGCTATCTGAAGACTGGTTCTCATGCCCACTTTAGTCTTGTTTAATATCAATTGTTTCACTAAAAGGTAGGTCCTTGGGTCTCTAAAGTCATCTTCTTGAGAGTATCAGACACATAGCTAGCAAATCTAAACCTGAAGCAACAACATGTAAGGTAACACGCAAACCACTCATCCGGCTGTCAATTCTTAGTACTTGCAATGTAAAGGGGTTGTGATTACTGTATGATATTAACACATCTGAATTTGAAGCTGCTTGCTTGGTTTCTGTCAAGTTTTCCCTATTAGACTCTGACCCTTAATGGAAAAAACAACTGATGGCCATATCAAGAGTCGAGGGTGAAGTTCCAAGTCACTTGCTACATAATTTATAGTCTAACCAACTAGCATAAATCAAACCGTTCATATCTCCCAAATACTATCACGATAAGGAGGTGTCATCAATAAGTTTCAATAGGGAATTTCGCCTCGCAGTAGGTTTCCGAAATATTCCTTTTGAAAGTAATCGCTAATTAGCAATGAATCGTCTTCTAGGGAAAAGGCTTGGTATGAATTCAGTTTTTATGTAGTTAGCTTTCATCATAGTGGTT